CTGGAAATGTTGATCAGTCTGCCATATTGTTAAGCAGTCCTCCTTCAATAGGTCCTATCTTAGCCTCTCTCTTGCCCCGTAAGATCTGTCTCCTCTCTTTCTCTAGTTCACCTATTTCGCTCGACCCTGCCACCCCATCTGTGCTACTCGAGGCGTTATTACCCCTCCCCTGCGTCTGGGTGACTAATTCAAGGCTAAAGCCTCTGAGTATGTGTCATGGTCACGCCTTTGCTGCATGGACCACGTCTTTGGTAAAACCTACTGTTAGCCAATTAGCTGCATCTATCCTGTTTCTATCCCTAATACCAAGTCTATGACTTGGTATGCTCTATACTCTTGTGTCTCAACCCATAAATGTTGTGGTACTGTTTGCTTTGATTTGGTTCAATGGTTAACCACAAAGTTTGTAGGTTGGAACACAAGATACAAGGGCATAGCAAGTCATAGACGTGGTATTACGCATAGAAACAGGATAGGGGCGACGGAGACTGGAGCTAGTTGGCTGACAGTAGGTTGTACCAGAGACGTGGTCCATGTAGCAATGGCATGATCATGATACTTACTCAAAGGCTTTAGCCTTAAATTAGTCACCTAGACGCAGTTTAGGGGTAATAACGCATCGAGTAGCACAGATGGGGTGGCATTGGTCGAGTGAAATACGTGAACCAGGGAGAGAGCAGACGGAGCTTACGGGGCAAAAGAGAGACTGTGATAAGACCTAGGGACGAAGTGTTGCGTAACAATATGGCAGACTCTTATCAACATTCCCAGAACAAGGGTGAAGGGGGTGAGGATGCCAACGTGGTGTTAAGGATTTTAATGAATGCCGCTCAAAGGAGCACACCACACTATATAGAAATAAGAACGGTAAAAAATGTAACAATTAAGGCGTGATAGGAGGATATAGGAAATGTGAATAGCCCAGGGCAGAATGGGAGATACCATAACTGTTTAGCACACATTTGGTCAAAGGATGGGCTTCACTTGTCTCTTTGACGAGTTGTAATATGATGCTGAGAATGACAAAACTCACTGAAGATGCCGACTACGATGCTGGCGAAACGTCTGGGAATGTACCACATCCACGGTCCGACTTTGGAAATTGTCATGCACACAATGGACTTCGGACTATGGAAGTTCCTCTAAGTTTTCCTACCAATATGACCAAGTTGCGAAAACAAGATCAAACAACCTCTATAGAACGAAAGGAGACTGCGACCACACAAAAGGCCACACCATCTTGTCCTTCATACCTTGAATTAATCTATCTATTGTAAATAAGTTAATTTATTGATCTTGGCGTAAGTAGATAAAATTAAGAGACTTGAAGCTGTAAGTCTTATAAATAGATAATTAGGAGATCCATTAAGAACTATTGCCATGTATGAGGGTTGCAAGAAGCAAAAGAGGACAAACATTTGCAATCTACCCAAAATAATATATGTGTATTTATAGATCTCAAAAAAAGATCTTGCAGTGACTTTTACTCCACAGTCTGGCCACATCTCTCGTCACAAGACAGTAAGCATTTCTCTTTCAACTCACGCAAAACCACTCAGAGTATGACTTGTCGGCACTATATGCCACGGGAATTAAGTAAACCTAGCCACCACATCGAGCCTCCTTGCTTAACCAATAAGAACGTGGAACTAAATGTACACAAACCAGAAACTCCTTAGACTATGAAGTATTCTCCACAGCTTTCCTTGTGATGCTGTAATCCTCTGTGACCGAGCTATGCTCTCTGTCACCGACCCCACAATCAGCCAACATTTTTGCTTTCCCACATCGAATCCTATCCTGTAACTTTTCTTCTTCTATACACCA